AATGATGTTGGATTATAATCATAACATGTACTAGCTGACTGATCAAGTCCGATCAAGTATTGTAAAATAATTTTTTTGTGTTTCACACCGTGTGTAAAATCAGTTATGTAACATTAACGGTCCCTCCTCTAGTTCTCTACCACAATTCTCGCAAGTCACTAATGTGAATGACAATATCTGATTACACAATCGTTTCAGAATCCGAGTCTTAATAAGCCAAATCGAAGTTACAAGTCAGTCCGTCGAATTGATTCTCGAAACGGTTTATTAAAGTTACAAGTCGAATTCAAAGGATAATTCACAAGGGAATAGTCAGATAAGTAGATACTTTATTTTTATTGGTAATTGATAGTGGATGAGAACTGTCGTTGTTTATTGAATTCAACGTGCTTATATACATTTTAATTTTTTAGGATTTACGCTATAATCTAATGGGTTACGCTGAGATTTTAGTGTATTCAAAGAATCTCAACGTATCTACTAAACTCACGTAAGCACGGTATGATTTCAAGGCATAAGCGTTAGTGTACTGTAATCACGTTTACGTGATACATTTGATGTTCATGCATCTAAGCCACTATTAAGTACAGTAGTAAATCGTTTACGAAAAATGATAACACTTATAATAAACAAAGTCGGAAATTCATATGTTTTTCTATAGTATAGGAATGGGGCTTGCTTACATATAAAAGTATTTTTATCAAAAAGTTGTAGAGCTAATTTTTCTGATTCTAATGGTGGTAAAAATCATCAAAATCGGTTGGATAGATCATGAGATATGATTATTATTCAATTGTTTACTATAGAGTTTTTTCTTAAGAAACGGAGCACATGGCATTCTACTTACTATATAAGGTAAAAATTTTAACAGTTTAATCGTAAAAATTTAATCAGCTAATGTTATTTAAAATCATAAAGAATTGAGATACATCTAGGGATGCTAACTACTTTGAAAATCAAATATAAGTTTAATATATCAAACTACTAGAACTAGTTCAGTTTAAATAGTAAAATCTAACCGGTTTAACATCTCTATAATGTTATTTAAAAATCATAAAATTAAGAATTGAAATGCACATACAAAACCAAAAGCAATATTCAATAAGATTAATTAATCATATAATAAAATTTTTCCGAATACATGTAACTTTAAGCTAAAATAATTGTAAACCTATAAAAAACCTATTCTGTCAAAATTATAGCATGAACCAAAATTCAAAGTATCAGATAATTAAGAGTATTTATATATATATATATATATTGTCCACAAATATAAATCTGATAAATTGGGTTGTCTAATAGATAAACCGGGCTATAATTTGATGAAATGCATGATTTTTTTATTTTTTACTCTTCTTTGACTGAGATGTTTCACCAGAAGTATTAGATCTTTTGTCTTTTCTAATCATTTCATCGTCACTGTTATCATTACCCTGTTCACTTTCCTTGTTACTTTCCTCTTCTCCCCTAATCAAAAAAAAAAAAACTCATGAGAAAGAAGATTAATTAATATTACTTCTTGAGCAATTTTAAAGATCTTTACTCAATTAGGCCTAATTCTTCTACTTTCTTACTAAAATAATATTTAATTGATTTAACTTTTTCTTTTAATTCATCCTTTTTTATTTAAGCTTTAATTAGTAATTATTTGTAATAAAACCAAAAATTCGATTAAAACTACCTTTTTATCCTCTTCTTTAGTACGTAGATATATTCGAATTATTTCTTCTTTGTAAACTATAGGGAGAAAATAGCTTACATCCTTCCTCCTAATTTCTTTAGTTTCGAATGACTCGGTGTCATGATTAAAGTGGTAAAATGTGACATTTTTTACTGGATTTTTATCATCATTTCCGTAATCGAAGCTTAGCCAATCTACAATTACATCATCAGGACCTAAATTTTGTATACCACAGCTCTTAATTTCCTCCATAATTTGATTCTTGATACTTTCCTAAAAAAAAAAAAATCAACATTAGCAATATGTGAAGAGCCTTAAATTAAATTAAATTAAAATAATATTTATATATACAATACTTTTTCTTTGCCATTCTTTTTTTTGGTTAAATATTCGTCCACATACATGTATAATTTTCTCTTTCTAATCTGTTTAATAATTTCTTTTGATCTGATTAATTCATCCTAGACAATGATTTATTGAAATATCATTAGTGAAATATCAAATAATTAATGCCATTTAATGAATAACACAAAAATATGCAACTACTCAAGTACTTCAGCTTGCGAATGTTCAATTTCATGAAAAATAGAATCACTTAATCGTATGTATTTTTCACCCTTACTGATCGCATCCTTAAAATCTTCAAAACCAAACTTCTTTGCCAAATATTTCTTCGCATCCTCAAGCACATCACACATCATATGATCAATTGCTCTAACTAAAATTAACATTTGTCATTATAGTAATTACAACCGTAAAAAAACTGAGCAAATTTGTTGTGACAACACACCAACGCGATGTTTATATACCGTTTTATGCAAAGAATATCTTGTGTGAAACAATTCATAAATATGATAACATTCTTTATAATAGTAAACTATCTCATCATTCATGACACGAGAGAGCCGCATCAACCGTGAAAAATCAAACTGTCGTTTCGTTCCTGAATAATAACAGTCTCGTGCGAAGTAATCAAACTTGTCAACATCTACAGAATTACGCGTATTGTTGACAATATCAAATAGGTACTTGGGTATTTTTCTTGCATTTATGTAAAATAATACAGTATGTTACTATTAAGATATTTCTAAATAATTATTATAAAAGAACAATAAATCACCTTATAGTTGAAAAATCACGATCACCTTTAACAAGTGCCCCGATGAATTCTACATCATCACTGTTTAACCCGATGGAATCCAAATTGATGTCATTCTCTTTAATAAGATCTTTAAGCATTGTTATGGATCCTTTCTCATGTTTCCAGTCTTTTATTCTGATTATTTAATAAAAACTTAAATATTATTCTGGTATGTAATCGCATATATTTGTTAATGTCATACTTTAAGCGGTCTTTAATAAAGTCACGGTCAAACAAGTGACTATATGGCCCATGTCCTTTATGGATAGAAATAATTAGATAAGTAATTGTTATTCAAAAATATGTTAAGCGAATAACATACCAAGGTCATGACACAATGCGGCTAAAGTCACACACTTAAGATTGCGTTCATCATCGACATTTTTTCCTTGCTGTTCCTGTAATCTTTTGGTTAAAGTATAAGCGAGGTGTGCCGTTCCTATAATAATTTCACTATTGAATCATCCTTTCATTTCTCTAGTACCAAAAAAAAAATAATAATAATCTATTCTTAGGCACAAATATTCACATCAATTAGTTAAACTTATGATAATGACGTGTCGATATAATCAAGTTCATAGCTAAGTGACGTAAATGTTCCTGTGACTACTGTAGTATTTATTCTTACCTAAGCTGTGCTCAAAGCGAGTATGAGTCGCACCTGGAAAAACATAAAAAGCAGTTCCTAATTGCTTGATATCACGCAATCTTTGGAATTGTGGTGTATCTATAAATTTTACTGCCCAATTTTCAAATTCAATGTACCCCTATTTAATAAACATACGTTAAATAAAACTAACGATTTAATCCACTTGAATTTGAATTTTTTTTTTTAGATAAATTACATGAATAGGGTCATTAATCATCTTATTTGACTTATTTTCGTCCATTGAGTTTTGCAGATATAAAAGTGTAGTAGCTTTATATTTGTTCGAGTTTGCACATTATATGAAAATTTAATTGTGCAGCGTTTTTTTTAATGCGCACTTTGTATCCATTCTTAGAATTGTTTTTTATCTTATTTGTATGTAAATCCAGTAAATCTTACGTAGAAAAATAGATTTTTCGGAATCAGGTGCATCACAGGGTTGGCAATGGGCCAATGGAGCTCAAAAAACTAGTACAGTATCCATTGACTCCATTCAGAGCTCCATTGGTTCCATTCGTAGTTCCATTGGGCTCCATTGCCAACTCTGGGTGCATCCCATACTTATTTATACTGGCAGTACAAATTTCTAAAAGGAGAGATAGCGATAGTCCAATACAGTACTACACACATTCGAAAAGAACTAACTGCACGTATGTGATATAATAGTAGGAGGCATTCCAGCACAAAATGTACGTACGTATTAAAACTTTATTAAATTGATTTAAGGAAATATATAGCATACTACGTATTAGTGAATACGCCACAAACCTTGAATTAAACTTTTACGTATATATCTTTCTCCTTGCATATACCGGATTTTCTTGCTGGAATCGGGATTACCATCTGTATCTCATTGAAATTTTAATATCGATATTGTTTCATGGCGTATTTTTTTCTATAAAAGGAATTGAGGCTTTTAATTTCCAAAAATAATGTATAAAATGACACGTGAAAATAAACGAGTACTGTAAAACACGAATGCTATTTGTTAAAAGATTTCGATTGGTCAAATTTAGATAGATCCATAGCTTCTTTAAATTTTTATAATGTTAATCACGCAATAGAAGATATAATGGATTTCATTACTTGAATATAAACCTTTAAATGCCAACATCTCGAAGCTTAGATGTCACTGTGTTACGAAACTAGGTAGCTTCGCAGCGTCATCACGAAACCAGGAACGGAAATTCTAAAATGAAAATACCTGGTCATAATGTTGCTAGACGAAACCTATAGGCTTTGTCACTGATGAAAATGATACTAGGTTGCGTCTTTCGTCAAAAAATCTTTTTAAAAAAGCGAAACGATGAAATTGACAAAACCTGACGAAATTGACGAAACTGACGAAAGGTGACGAAATTGACAAAAGTACTATTTTCAAGATAAAGTTATTTTACTTAAATCGTCTCTTTATTTTTCAAAGAGGTATATTCTCCTTTCTCTTTATAATATTTAACTTATAATATTATTGATATTCGAATTCAAAAGAACTATTTGTACGCTTTTTATTATACTGCTTTATGAATTGAGATCTTCAAAAGCTTTGCAGCCTAGAAAAATATTAGCTCATCAAAGTTCTCAGTTAAATGTGCATAATAATGAGAAAATATCAGTTTTAAAAGCTTTGATGAATACATAACATCAACTTGAATGATATTAAATCATGCACATATTAGCTATCAATCCTAGGCAAGTTTATTCAATCAACTGAAGCTACAACAGGGACACGGAATTTATGTGATTTAGTGTGATTTGGGTTCGTTGAGAGCTATCAGTTACACAAAAATTAATATGTAATAATTAGCAATTATGTGATTTGGTTGTAGTTAAATCGCATAATTTCCGTGTCCCTGAGCTACAACTTCAGTCGGGTGTCAATTTCAGTCATGACATTTATATATAATATTGTTTAGCTAATAAAAATTTTTAAAAAAAGAAAGTTTTTTCTATAGCCTACCTTAAACCACATTTATCATAACAGAATAATAGTAGTGTTCCCTCTAATCATCAAAGAAAAAGCTCATTTTTGAAAGCTAGACTACATAATCCTATTTATTTACATACAAAGTATTACATATTTTGTTATATATATAACAATAAATAGAAAATTTGCAAAGTACAGGATGATTGGCGAAGCGCAAGTTAGTCGGGAGATTCTATAAAAGTATACAATAAACAGTCCTGGCATACACATTTTAATTCTTATTGGCGCTACTAAAATATGTGCGATATAGTCATATACGCTTCGTTTATTAACTTTCTGGTACAGTCACAATACATAAAATTTAAGGCATCACAGAAGAATAATGACCTAGCTTACGAAATATAACACTGTGCTTGGTCTTTTAACAGAACTTTGTTCAATTTCATTTCAGTAGGTTAGGTTTCGTCTTTCGTCATTTTTCAAAAATGGTTTCGTCTAACAACACTAAACAAAAGTCATTAGTAAACTATGCACTCCGTTTCATTATAATTACGATACACATAACTTAAGGTGTTACAAAAGGATAGTTGCTTAGCTAACAGCTAACACAGAACTAGGTCACTTACCAGGGCTTTGTTCTTATATAAGCAATAAAAATCATTATACTAATTAACGCAAATAAATGAGAAATAAAAAATTATAATTAGGCCAGACCAATTAAATTATTGATTGGACTGGGTGACCTGTCGGGCTGATCCGGGTAGACTGACGGGTATTCCCAGCCAATCGCTGATGTTTGTTTACATTGGGTAAAATAGGATGTGTTAATCCTATTTTACCCGATGTAAACAAACATCAGCGATTGGCTGGGAATACCCATCAGTCTACCCGGATCAGCCCGACGGGTCACCCAGGTTGAACGGGTCCAATCACTAGTTTACATTAACTTCGGGCTATTTCGGAAAATTTTTATATAGTCATGGAACAATTCAGAATTTTAAATTTTACTATGTAAACCACAAATCCCCCCGGAGAGAGGGGGTGATAATGTAAAATACAGAATCTAGTTGGTCTTGCCTAAATTACACAACATATTTTTATGTACGTACGTATGTCATATAGTAACATTTAATGTTGCTTGTTTATGAAATAAAAGGCTAACTAAGATTGGCATATTTCCAAAAAGTTATATGCTAGTAAAGAATAATCATACAACAAGTTGCTGTGAATATTAATGAGAGGATATGTAATGTTATCAATCAGCAAATCATTTCAAAGAACGTTAACAGTTCACATTGAACTATTTTGATTCAATCATGGTCTAGCATTTAATAACCCATAATTATAAGAATTAACTAGTCTAGACTGGTCCAGACTGATCTGGTCTTAAAGCTGAGAGCAGACCAATTTTTTTCGGTTTCAGACCAGTCTTAAGACCGATCGTGGTCTATTAGTTTAGACCAAACGACATAACATCCCTAATCATCTCCTGTATTGAATAATATTTCACTGAAAATGCTAAGAATCTTCATAAAAAACAATCAATGCACAATTTGCAACATAAAACATAGTTGTCTGTGTAAATGTAGAAAATTCATTGCAAATGTAAAGCCAAAGTTGCCTTATTAAAAAAGTGGCTGTCATTCCAAAAACTGTACTTGTAGTAATATGTCATAACTAGAATATACTGTAAAGTGCTAACTGATGCACCCAGCTATTAAAGACCAGAGATACCAGCTGTATATTTTTCGCCCTACTTCGTCGCTTTAATATTTGCATGAACTTGGTATTCTTCTAAGCATAAAGAAACTATATAATATGTATTGTATCCGAATATACATAATTAATTGAATGTTTTAAGTTTAAAGCTAAGTATGTCAGATTCAGATAAAAATTTTTATTTTAAAAATTAAATGTGTTAGATTCAGAATTAGCTTTTAAGTTAGTCTGAAATTTTTGAATAATTTAAAATTTCGGTCAATTTAATTAAATATGAAAGTATCAAATAGCACTTTGTCTCTAATAAGTTAAGGAATGTAGGCTTATCGACGATTAGCCTGTGCACATTACAGTGGTACGATTGCACAATATCTTTAATTTGTAATTGAGAACGAGCTTTCGTCTCGCCTCTATCTAAAAATCGGATACGATTAGATCGACTGTTATAATTTGGTTTCTTGTGCATAGAAAACAGATGGTTCGGGATAAAAGCTATGGTTTATTATGTAGTACTAATCTCGAGTTCCATTTATTTAATGACCAAAAAAATAATTGGATAGAGGTTAAATTAACATTTAAGGGAATTGAATATGTTTTTTCTTAGACAAGTTCGCCTGGCCATTTCGTCCCACCCTTGGAAATTGTCAGTCATGATATTCATGAAAGATAAATTAACTCAGAAACTAAAATTGAAAATTCTTAATAGTCAATCTATGCACGCTAAGACATCATCTATTAGTATTGAACGAAAAAGGAGTAGCAGAAACCTATAATTATACTTCATCGACTTGTTAGTAATAATTCAAAAATGAATAAATTTAGATTGCTTGAATATGTGGTACAAAATAAATATTAAGCTTCACCATTTTTTGGTTGTTTGTATGAGGCCAACGTGGTGTCTCCCAGAGGATTACAGAGATCTAAAACGTATAACGATAGAAATTCAGTTAAATAAACAGTGTATTCTAAGAGCTTCCGATATATAATTGCTTAATAGTACAATATATTCCTCATAATAATTATGTTCATTCGACTACAGAGGCCAATCCTGAGTCACGACTGGTACTAACCTGTGTATGAATTTACTCAATGTGATTTCAAATGAAGACCATAAATGATTATACACAAATGAGTGTTTGGCCTATGAATAAATAAATGCTGCATATCGTTTCGGATAAACTTATAACATTTGTTTCGCATAAACTTCTAACAATTAAATAGTATAAATAATTAGTCACAAAAAAAAAAAAATTGGGCAGAATAGTTTTTTGCAAATGAAACATGGCTCACTTGTTTGGTAATGATTAGTAAAAAGGTGTTCTGGAAGTGAGAATATTTTCTCGTACCGATCGATACAAAATCTTTGAATGCAACGAATTTCTATTGCTGACAGTTTTTATTTTTAGTTTTTTATAATTGTGATGTTATTTAATGAGTGTTGTATGTCGGCCAATGCCAATTGTGCAATAAGTATGAGCACAAATTATGGTTATCGACAAACAGTTAGGCTTCCAATATCAATATAAAAAAAAAAAATCACTCACGATCGTCCAAAATTTTTATTAGCTGTTTCAGAATCTATGTAAACAACGTACCGT